AAGTCTCCAGGGGAAGTGATATGGAAATGGAACCAGAGTGTAGAACCAGAGGTAGCCAGATATGTCACTGTGACTTCTGAGCAGGAGTGTGATGGTTGTAGGTTAGTCTGAAATGAAAATTGAAGCAACAAAAGAAATGGTGTTTATGAGGGCTCATACTCAGACATTTAGAGGCTGTTTTAAGGTCAGACTTTATTTGGCTTTTTTTGGAAGCTGTGAGGCACCCCACAAATTTTAAAGATGTAGCCCCATGTGTCTAGTACTGGAAGGGGTTTGCTAGTAAATACGGTTTATGAAATAAGGTGGACGGGGCTATTAAGAAATAGTCTTGATTATTATAGAGCAGAAAGATCAGTTTTTCGGTCCTGATTATTGTGTCATAAGGAGTTGTCATCAAATAAGCATTTAGTTGGCAAAATGGAAGATGGCTTTTAGGTTTCTGGTATGTTCCTTCTCATCCCTTAGCTCATATTTCTCCAGGCTGTGCCTTGGAGTGTTGGGTTATTATAACTTGGTGGGTACAGAGTGAGTTTATTGATTCTTTTTTTTTTTTAAGATTTGTTTATTTTATTTTTTTAAAGATTTATTTATTTATTTATACACGTACTGGGTACAGTCAGAAGCACAGGAGGGTGAGAGAATTCACCAGAGCCAGAGAGAGGACTAGAACAGGCAGACTGACGAAATACACTACTGAGGGGAGCAGCGGGCATGGCAGGAGAGGTCTGCGCGCCATGTGGGACACTCGCCAGCAGCCAGGGATCGAGCTGGTGCTGCAGATGCTGCAGGCAGCTTCACATCCCAGTGCTCAACCGCTGCACCACCAGGGGAGGCCCAAGATTTGTTTATTTTATACAAGAACTGGGGTACAGGTCAGAAACTCAGGAAGGTGAGAGAATTCACCAGAGCCAAAGTGGGGAACAGAACAGGCAGACGGACCAAAGACACTGCTGAGGGGAGCAGCAGGAGAGACAGGAGAGGTCTGCTGTGCCATGTGGGGTTCTCCTTGGCTGGTGTGGAATCGAACCAGCACTGCAGAGGCTGCGGACAGCTTTGCAGCACGGCGTTCAACCGCTGCACCACCAGGGAGGTCCAGTTTATTGATTCTTTAATGCTGTTTCTGCTGTTTCATTCTTGTTCAGAGCAGGCAGTGTTCTGGCTTCTATGTGGAGCTAGCTCATCATCCTATAATCAGAAGTGCTTACATGTCTTAAGCAAGAAGAAACTGGACATATTAACATGGGAGAATCATGGTCTGGTCACTTTTCACGATCACCTGTGATATTTGTGATATTGAATATTATTTTTTCTGATTTCAACCTTGAACTGGAATCTGTACAGAGGAGATTTCACTGAACAGTTATGAAAAAAATAAGGGGAGTTTGCTTTTACCTTTGGAGATCTCTTGCATAAATATTACATCAAATTGTTAGGCAGTAAATTTGTCAGAAGATGAAGATGAGGATGGTGAGATGAAATGGTAAAAAGAGCAGTAATGTTAGATTTAGGAGATAGAATTTAATTGACTCTTTTGCCACGTGTGAATAAGACTTTCAGTTAATTTATTCATTTGTAGAATAACCTCTGTTCATAAAAGTTATAGAAGTTTACTCCTCTTCAGATATATGTTGTCACTCCACATCCACCAGCAAAGCATCCATCGTCCTCCAAACATAGTCCATTGGGCCACCCTCCTATTTTGCTCCCCATCTGCCACACTCTCTTCTTCCCTCTGGTAGCCTTCATTTTTAAGTCATATTTCTGGGGATTGTTTTTGGTTTGGTTTTGTCTGAACCTTTGTTTTGTTTCCCTATTTTCCATATATGATGATATCATTCAGTATTTGTCTTTCTCCTCCTGACTTATTTCACTTAGCACAGTCACGTTCAGTTCCATCCATGTTGTCACAAAGGGCAGGCATCAGCTTTCTTATAGCTATGTTGTATTCCATTGTGTACATATGTCACAGCTTCTTCCACTGATCTGTTATTGGGTAGTAAGGTATTTCCCATAGTGTAGCTATTAAATAGTGCTGCAATGAACATGGAAGTGCCTATTTCCCTTTGAATGTCTTTGGATTCTTTGGGTAGACACTGAGGAGAGGGATTGCTGGATCATATGCTATATCCATTTTTCATATTTTGAGAAACCTGTATACTATTTTCCACAGGGACTGGACCAGTCTCCATTCCCACCAACAGTGTAAGAGAGGCTTCCTTCGCCGCATCCTCAACAACACTTGTTTATTCCATTTTGAGTTGATTTCTGAATATGATCTGAGATAGTTGTCTAGTCTCAGATTTTTTTGTTTTGTTTTGTTTTGCTTGTGGCTGTTAAATTTTCCCAACACCATTTGTTGGAGACATTACCTTTTCTCCAGTGTATATTCTTGGTTCCTCTGTCATAGATTAGCTGTCCTTACAGGTGTGGTTTATTTCTGGACTTTCAATTCTATTCCATTGATCTGTGTGTCTGTTTTTAGCCCAATACCATGTAATTTGATTAACCTTGTAGTTTAGATTGAAGTTGGGGAGTATAATAACTCTGTTTTTGTGGGGTTTTGTCAGTTTTTTTTTTTTTTGGTCAAGATTGTTTTGGCTACCTGAGGTCTTTTTTAATTCCTTATAATTTTTCTTTTTCTATGGAGAATGCCAATGAAACTTGGGTGAGATTGAATAGAATCTGTTTATTACTTTGGGTAAGATGACCATTTTAAAAATGTAATTCAATTCATAAGTAGGTACTACCTGTCTTCTATTTCATTCAACAATGTCTTATAGTTTTCACTATATAGAGTTAAGTTTATTCCTAAGAATTTAATTCTTTTTGGTATGATGGTAAATGGGATTGTTTTCTCGATTACTTTCTCTTCTAGTTCATTGTTTGCCTTATAAATAAACTTATTATTAACTTAAAAAAAGACTCATGGAGGAGAGACATGCAGAGATAGTTGGGAGAGATGTGGGTGAGAGATGTGGGGAGTCTGAGGTTTGTCACAGATAGCCTATATTATGTTGATGCATGTTTCTCCTATCCCCATTTTTGTGGGTTTTTATCATAAAGGGTTGTTGAACCTTATAAAATGCTTTTTCTGCATCACTTTTTATGTTTCCTTTCATTAATGTGGTAGAATAATTCCCACTTGGTCATGTTATATGATTCTTTTAATGTATTGCTGCATTCAGTTTCCTAAGATTTTGTTGAGGATTTTCTCATCTGTCTTCATCATGGATATTGGTCTATCGTTTTCTTTCTTGTGATGTTCTTGTCTACTTTTGGTATCAGAGTGATGTTGGCCTTATAAAATGTGAAGCATTCCCTCCTCCTAAATTTTTTAAAGAGTTTGAGAAGAACAAACTCTTGTCTGTAAACATATTTAAGTTATCTTAATGTCATCATCCATCACCTCCATGTTAAAACTAAAGATGTGGGAAGGCAGTGGTTTGATCTTTTTAATCTTTTTTTTAAAGATTTATTTATTTATTTTTGCAAGAACAGGGGTACAGACCAGATGCGCGGGAGGGTGAGAGGAGTCACCAGAGACAGAGTGGGGAACAGATCAGGCAGACAGATGAAATATGCTGCTGAGGGGAGCAGCAGGTGAGACAGGAGAGGTCTGCTGTGCCCTGTGGGACCCCCGCTGGCCGGCCAGGATGGAACCTGCGCTGCAGAGGCTGTGGACAGCTTCACAGCGCTGCGCTCAACCGCCTGCGCCACCAGGGGAGGCCCTTGGAATTTGTCACACCAATTCTACAAGCAAGTTTCAGTATTCTTTAAAATATTGAGTCTTGGGCCTCCCTGGTGGTGCAGCGGTTGAGCGCTGGGTTGCGAAGCTGCCCGCAGCCTCTGCAGCGCTGGTTCGATCCCCAGGTGCTCCCCGGCCACCAGAGGAGGGTCCCACATGGCGCGCAGACCTCTCCTGCCGCCCGCTGCTCCCCTCAGCAGTGCACTTCGGTCCTTCTGCCTGCTCTGCTCCCCGCTCTGGCTCTGGTGAATTCTCTCACCCTCCCGCGCTTCTGACTGTACCCAGTGCTTGTATTAATAAATAAATAAATCTTTAAAAAAAAATAAATTAAAAAAAATAAAATATTGAGTCTAAGCTATTGCAAAAGCAAACCCTAATTCTATGTCTTCAGAAATTCATGGCTTTATGCGTTAATCAAGATAATCACTATTTTGGTTATACTCTAGTAGAACCTATTCTTGTATCAAAGTTCATCAAAAATTGACAGCTCATTGAATGGTGGCTACATTCTAAATACTGCCTTTCCAATTTGGTAACCTCTATGCACATGTAGCTATTTACATCTTTGTTAATTAAAATTAAATCAAGGAGGGCCTCCCCGGTGGCACAGCGGTTGAGCTCTGGGTTGCGAAGCTGCCCACAGCCTTTGCAGTGCAGGTTTGATCCCCGGCTGCTCCCCGGCCACCAGAGGAGGGTCCCACATGGCGTGCAGACCTCTCCTGCCGCCCGCTGCTCCCCTCAGCAGTGCACTTCGGTCCTTCTGCCTGCTCTGCTCCCCGCTCTGGCTCTGGTGAATTCTCTCACCCACCCGCGCTTTCTGACTGTACCCATTGCTTGTATAAATAAATAAATAAATAAATAAATAAATCTTTTAGAAAAAAATTAAATCAAGGAAATCCAGAGTGATTCAGTTTCTCAATCACACTAGATCATTCCAGCTACTCTATGTCCAGATATGGATATTTATTAGCTACTATTTTGCATAGTGGGATGATAGAAAATTCCATTCATTGCAGAAGATTCTATTGGATAGTCCTACAACAAAAGGAACTTAGTATCACATTGTTTAGGAGATTCAGCCCAGGTTTTATGCAGAATTTTTGTGCCATTTTTAGGTTTCCAACCTTAAATAGCAACCTTTAATGAATAATGAAGGTTTCTCATCCACCTACCCATTCTTTTCTGCAAGTCCTATTTGGTGTGTCTGATAATTTGTTATTATTAAATGTTCATGTCTCTCTTTTTGGTCTCTTAGGTCTTGCGTGACAGACATGTGTGAATGTCCAGTTCATAAAAACTGCTACTGTGAGTCATTCCTGGCATATACACGGGCCTGCCAACGAGAGGGCATCAGTGTCCACTGGGAGCCTCAGCAGAACTGTGCAGGTGAGAGGTTCCCCAAGGACGCATCCATCAAAAGTTCGCTGCAATGCCCAGAAAAGCAATGAAAGAGACTTGCTGATGGAACTGGTCACATTCACCCTTAACCAAAGAAAAATCCTGTTATAACTTGACAAAACGCAGGGCTTCCCATGGGCACTTAAGAGAAATGCATTGTGACAAGCACATTTGAGCAATTTTAGGATTTCCACTGTTGCAAAATCCTCCCAACCTCAAGCTACCAGCTGGATGTACTCAGCACAGGGACAGTCACAGCTGCAGCTTAGGTTATGTGTAGAGCAAGAGATTCAGGAGAATTACAGTCATTTAAGGTCTTCAGGATGTGTGACTTTTTTTATTGGTTGAAATATCTAGTAGAATGTTCTTTGTGTTCTTTTCCCTCTAAGAGATAAATTGTAATAGTTGCTAAAGCTTTTTGATCTCAGGAAAGTTAATCAGCTTATTTTATATCTGTAAAATGAACTTTGTTCATCCAAGAAATCATTTTACAAGTGGATAAGTGCTGGGCATTGTGCTAAGCACTGCAAGTACTTGGGTGACCATAAGAGATGAGGATGCTGCCATTAAGATGCTGGCAGTCCAGTGGGGAAACTGGATAAAAACAGTAACTCTAAACAAATGCTTGCAAATTATGGTAAGTGCAATGAGGAAAAAGAATATGACAGAGCAAATCTCTAGAAAAGGAGTGGGTAGCTACTTAGATAGTGAGGAAGGAAGGCTTCTCTGTGGAGGTGATATTTCAACTGACCCTGAAGGATGTCACGGCATGTAGTCTATACAGAAGCAACAGGTTTGATAGCCTTCAGGTAGGGAAGAACAGCTCACTGGAACTGGAAGGCATGATGGGGAAGGGACTTTGGCATGATGGGGAAGGGACAGGGAGCATAAGACGAGGATGGAATAGAAGCAGGGGCTGGATCATGCAAGGTATTGTGGGTCTTGGGGAGGAGTAGAACCCTCTGGTGGATTTTAAGCAAACTTCTTTCTGCTTTTCAAGGTTTACCCTGGTGGCTATGTAGGAGGTAGATTAGATGGGGCAAGATAACCAGGCAGGTGTTATTGTGGGAGTAATGGTAAGTAAATGAGAGTGGATTGACTCAAGCTGGGGAGAGGAGAAGAGAGAGTTGGTCTCTGGGGAGAGAAGAGACAGTCGAGATAGAATTTGGAATTTTTTTTTTTTAAGATTTTTTAATTTATTTTTACAAGCACTGGGTACAGTCAGAAGCGCGGGAGGGTGAGAGAATTCACCAGAGCCAGAGCAGGGAACAGAGCAGGCAGAAGGACCGAAGTACACTGCTGAGGGGAGCAGCGGGCGGCAGGAGAGGTCTGCACGCCATGTGGGACCCTCCTCCGGTGGCCGGGGAGCAGCCGGGGATCGAACCTGCGCCTCAGAGGCTGTGGGCAGCTTCGCAACCCAGCGCTCAACCACTGCAGGCTTGGCAAACTTTTTACGATAAAGGGCTGGTTTTGTTGGGAGTAAAGAGATGGGATTTTGTAACATTCTAAACAAAGCCTAATGACCTAAGCTCTAGTGTAAGAAAAGCTAGCAGGTCCTGCCATTTCTGACTTAGAAGGTCTGTGTTGGTGGGAGAGAGGAGCAGTGTTCTGGTTGGAATGTCCATCAGGGAGGAGAGTCTCCTGGAAGCTGTGCTTGCAGTGCCCAGATGTTGTGTTCATCCAGACCAGAAAGTCTTGACCTGGCAGGACACTGCTGTCACTCCAGGAACTTAAAAATAAACCAGAAACCTTTGCTGGGCCCCACGCCCAGATATCCTGCTTTAATTGGCTAAGTGGATCTTTTAAAACCTCCCGGGTAATTTTGACCTGCAGCCAGAGTTGAAACCACTGAACTAATTTGAGTTTGTTTATTTGGGTGTGTTTATTTGGGTTCACATGGGGGGAAGGATGATGGGTATCTTGGGGCTACTAAAACCTCCTCAGGTTGCCCCTTGATACAGTTACTAGTCTGTGTCCTTGAAAAACACCAAAATCCTTTTATCTCTTCTGACTTCCCTTTCGGACTTGCCCTTTTCTCTGAAAACTCAAATTCAGTCTTTATATCTGAGTTTACTTTCTGCAGCAAGAATGCTTCTCTATCATTCTTGAAGAGTATTGATGTGCTAAAAATCAATCAGGCTCCTAAAAATGAGACTGGCTTACTGTTAACTCGGAATCCATGTGGGGCAATGTAGACAGTGTGGTAGTGATGAAGGACTAGATCCTTCCAGCATATACTCTTTGTTCTCTCTCTCTATGAAAAATCCTCCTTCTCTTAAAAAAATGAATGAAATATAAGGTGTCCATCTCCTTCTGTAACATCGGGCTCAGTAGAGCATCATTAATTTATTAACTGTGGTGGTGCCATAGTTGAGATCATAGTAGATTCACAACACACGAACACTCCCTTCTGGCCCAGAGCTAATTGAGCACCATTTCAGTGCACACTTAGCAATTGAAAACTACACATTTTACCCCAGCACAGTGATTTCAGGGACTGAATCTCAGAAGCTAAAATTACTTTTCTGATGGAAAAGAAATATGGTTCCTGAAAGCTTCCATTTACCACTTAAAATTAGTACAGCCACTGAGTGAAGTATAGCTCTGTCAGTGTGTGACTGCAGGGGAACTTAACACACACATACATACACACACACACACAGATTGATACTTGGTACATGAGAGATAAACTTACAGATACAGGCAGCATCTGAATCAACTGAACCAGTAGATTCAGTTCTGATTCATCTGGAATATTGAACTATAAGAACAATCTTCACTTGATTTTAGCTTCCAGATCTTTTGACTTATGACTACAGAGAAGGCCATTTAATACAGAGAAGAGAAATTTTCCAGAGTAAAAAGCTTTGAACAAGAAGCCGTCCAGGCAAGAAACTGAATGAACAAGTGACATTTCCAAGTCCAGCCTGAAGTTTAACACTATCATGGCTACCAACACAAAGGTGTGCCCACTAACTGTGACAAGAAGGACTAACAGTTCCATTTTTCACTTGTGAATTATTGGTTAATAAATACAACATGCAAAGGGCTACTGTGAATGTCTATACACGTTTAATAATGACTTGTTATATTTATATTTACCATTTTCTAAGGACATCCTATGCCTCAAGGATACACTAGCACTTTATATTACATTTTATCTTATTTTATACCTATTATAGTCTATATGGTAACTTTCTATAACCTATCTACTACTGATAAAGACATTGATGCTAAGAATATTAGTACTTGGCTAAAAGTTAACAGAACTAGAGAGCAAGGAAGCTAGGAATCACACCCAAGTCAATTTTGATATAGCTTCTATTCTTATTCATTAGGAGAACACAGGCAAGCAAGACCATTTTAGAAAATCTATTTAAATATGAATATATGTTTATTTATAGATTTAGATGATTCAAATAATATGTCCAAATATTTGCTGTGGAGATTTTTATTAGCCTTAGTGACTTCTGAATTTCTATTCATCTGTTATTTGTCACTGGAAATTCTTACTTGGTAACTTCTACTTCTGCAACTTTGTTATGATCTTGCTTCTGCATCTTTGCTATCCAGAGCAGATTTTCTGCCACCTTCCTGTACTGACAGTTATTGTCACTGTGCTTTCAATAATACATTTTTATAGGTGGAAAAGGTGCTGGGATATTCAAAGTGGGGTGTGTGTGTGTGTCTTATGTATGTGTGTATGTGTATGTATTTCTACAGCACACTGGGTCTGTGAGCAATGTCTTCTATAAATTTCAGGTGTTTTTCTCCAGAAAGTCCACATATTTCTAGCCCTTTTGCTACAATAACTCTTCTTCAGTCATACACATACTCTTGAGCTTTTTCTTGGTGGACTGGATGCCTCTCGGCTAAGTTTAGGACATAAAGTCAGTACTGTGATGTTCAGCACCCGATAGGGGGGCATGAGTTCCACAGGACCACACTTACTGAATTTGTTGATAAAATCTGTATGTGGTGTCTTTGTGAGTTATCCCATAAAGTAACACACACACACACATATATAGTAGTGTCCATATGTCCCCATGAAGGTGAATATTTAATAACCCTACCAAGTGTGGTAGTTTCTTGTTATTTCAAAAAAAAAAAATTTAACCAAGTAAATATTTTAAAGATATATTTGTACAAATTGTATCACTTTTATATTAAAAACACATATTTTAGCTTTTATAAATTTGATAAGCCATTGGATTTCAGAGAGGAAAACAAGGTCTGAGTCAGTATTTACTTTCTAGTATTCTTTAAGTTGTGTCAACTTGAAGGCAAATCTGGTCATATCTTTCCCTGATGAAACCTTTCCAGTGCCTCCCTTTATCAAGACGTACAGCCCCTGCCTTCTCCTGTGCCTTTGTCTCCTTATTCTGCCTCCTCAATTCCATGCCCAGCCACCATGGGCTTTACTTGACTCAACCACAGCCACCATGTTGGTCTCTTCCACCTTTGCTGCTTGCAAAGTCCCTGGGAAGTTCTTTCTGCCACTGCCTGTCAGTTTGACTCACCTCTTAAGCCTCAAGTGGGATCTATTTATTCTGTGACAACTTCCTGGATCATACCTCACCCTCAACATTAAGTTTTGTTCTCATTCTTCCACTATGCTTTGCTCTCCTTGTCCAACATCTTGCATTCTGTGAAGGATCTTTTCCATGTCAACTGTATCTATTTAGTCACAACTCCTGGTTCCTGTAATTGGAGACCAGGGTTGATATCTGATTCATATTTGATTTCCTGGCCTAGGAGGATTCCTGGCACATAGTAGATACTTAGTGGTTGTTTATCGACTTAATTTGAGTTGAAATGGAGGCTTTATTTGTACTATGAAGGAGAATACTAGAGAAAATATCTTTTTTTTCCCTACATTCTACTTGTAGATTGTAAGGGATCTATCGGTGTTCAGCACTCAAAGGCATAATATCACAGAAGACCATTAATTAGTGGTCGAACTAGAAGAAAAACTTGAAAGGTCAGAA